CCTTCGGTGGGTTCAAGATTTTCCTCGTTTCAAGAAGAATCCGCACGGGGACGCGCGCGTGAAGATCGCCCTCCCCGAAGCTGTTACACAACGTTTGACGGTGATCAGACGTTTCTTTGAGTCATGGAATGTGATTCAAGCGCTGAATCCACGTAAGCGCTTATAAAGTTACGTCTCCAACAATCGTACAATATATAGAGCCGATTTCGGCGTGGATAAGACGTTTTCCAGCTCCGCTCGCGTTTAATTAGCCTTTTGTAAGGAAAATCACCGCCAGCGTTGATTCGTTCGATATCATAAATTATGGGCCAATCAGCGGAGTATCCCCATGCCCGACCTCGTTATTTTATTCAAACGCCAACGACATTTCCGTAAATCGCCTCCAGAGCTGAACCAGCTTTGCATACTGGTTTCTCTTTTTTCGAGCAATCTTCCGCTCGCGGGATAGTTGGCTCAATCGAATGATAAGGCGGTTATTTACGGGAGGCAAATTGCGCCGGTAATGTAAACGCCATCGTCTCTCGCTCGCAAGCGGAGAAATCATAAATCGTCGTCTTCTTCGGAACGCACGCTGCTTAATTCCATCTCGCGCACGGCTAGCGAGGTACGACTTCGCGTACCGAGGCGCATCATAGTATCCTTTAGCTGACACTAATTTCATCCCGAACAGATACTGATTTACGGGGATTCGCCCAACGAGTCGAGTTCCCTCGGCGAGAGGGATCACTTAGTCGTTTTTCTGGGACGATCCCAGGCGGGGTTGCCGCTCTCTTCTCGCACTCCAACTCCCTCATCGCGGAGCTCCCTCGTCGACTCGAGCCTGCAATTGACTCCTTCGACCCTGAACGATCCTCGAACGTTCCGAGAAACACTTTCGTCGGATGATCTAAGTGCGATGACTAACAATTTCCGCAAGTACAACGGATGTCCCCATCGGGCGCAAATTGATTCGTCGTCCGTCGATTCGAGAAATCGTTGACATCGGTGAAAGTCTCTCCCCGCTGGGATTTATTTCCATAAATCCACTTAGCCTCAAGCTCTCGTGTTTTGTATGCGTGTTACCCTCAAGTTTTTCTCACGCAATCGATTGGTCCGAGTTACATTCTTATGACGATGATACGCGAGTTCTTTCATCCGACGTCGTTAATCACGCGTATGATTTCTATTAGAGGAATCCCATTCGAAGAATCTTGTTTGTGTCAAACGGACACTTGTAGCGGGAGATTAAGATCGACCTTGCGCACATTCCCGCCGTCTCGATGACACTGCACACGATACTCCGACGCGCGTAATTACCAGGAATATTTAACACGCAAATGGACTCTCTCTCTAGAGAGTCTTGAGAACTAGCTCGTACGTTTTTCGGCCTTTTCCATACGATGGAACGAGCCGGGGTTCCTGCGGTGTCCTTGAATTCGTCCCGTGAGAGTTCATCGTATCCTCCTCTGCTTTATTCTTCGCCTCGAGTTGCAGGCCTTTCTTCTTCTTCGTCTTCTTCCTCGGTTGCTCGCATTAAGCGATGCTCACACCGAATTACTTTCGACCGGGAATCTTCGCCACGCGGGAATTCGAGGTATCTACCCGAGCTTCAAGTATAAGCGGCTCCCCCTTCTCTCCCTTTCTCGAATATAGTTGAATCTAATCATCCGCAATAAACGGGACGGGGCCAACTCCGAAGTTCCATGTCGGGGCGAGTCCTACAGAGCCGACATCCACGGGAGAGTGTGGACGCATAACAACTTTCCACGACACGGAGGAGAATAAATACCGCGCGCGAGCGCTCTATTACGGCACGACCGAGCGGGGAAACCGCAACACCTACGCGAGAATGTAAAAGTCGAGTCGCGTAACGACGCGTAAGGGCCCGTTTCACCGGGGCGATACGTTCCGTACCTTTAACGCGTAGCAGATTAATAAATCACGAGACTACACCGGAGGAGACGTTCTCCCTCTCTCTCTCTCTCTCTCTCTCTCTCTCTTTCTCACGGCCGGCGAATTTTTCCAGCCGGGCTCTCGCTCGCGGGCGAGAAACGAAGAGAGCTGCGTCTGACAGAGGTAAATTCCAAGCGGCGACGAGAACGCGTCTTTACCTTTATCCGAGGACGTCACGAGGTACAACTTTCTACGATCTGTTCTTCGACAATTCGTAGCTACATCGGTGCTACGAATACGCCGATTCTGTGTGTGTATATATGCGTATGTTAATGCTGTTGGACACCGGTCTCTCTTCCCTATCGGTGCTCCCATACGTATCCGGCGTATTCGCGCCTTCGTAATTTGTGTGTTTCGAGGTCGTGGAGAGAAGAAGACCCGGTTTCGCGAAGGCAGAGAATCTCGTGCCGGTCGACTTCGAGGTTCCTCGAGCATGTCGAGCGTACGCGAAGAGTAACAGGTGTCTCGTCGTCTTTTTCACTCTTTCTTTCTCTCTCTCTCTCTCTCTCTCTCTTTCTTTCTCTCTCTCCCTTTCTTTGCTTTTTTTATTTGACGGTCGGATTATCTTCTGGCGCGGATTTTGTTACGCCGCGAAAGTGCAACGAGCGGCTCGTGGCAAATTCGAGACGCGTCGATGCGCTAATTGCCGGGGTAGCGCGTAATGAATTCGCCCTGATATGATAATTACACGCGAGAGATACGCCGAGCGGAACGCGAAAACATCGCAATCCTCAAATTTCGGAAGCATGAATCGACTTCTTAGACGCTCGAGTCGAAACAACTCGAGTTCCTCAATGTATGAAATTTTACTTTAATTTTTCGTGATATATATATATATATATATATATCAAAGATATACATATGATATATATATATCAAAGCAAAGTGATATATATATATATATATATATATCAAAGAGTGCTAGCTCGTTAATAAATGACAAATGAAATGAAGTAGAACGTAAAATAAACCGTAAATGCTAAAAATCAGAGAGGCATTATTTACTTTTTTTAAATAATATTTACCCGTTTTGGGAAAAAAAAGATACGAGATAACTTTTTACGAATATCATCATAATTATGTCACATAATATTATATCTTGATATTATGATAATATGCACATTACCATAATTAATTTTGTGAATGCTCACGGTATTTTACGATCATATTATACGGCCTTAGCATGAACGTAGTCTTCCTGTACGTAAAAATAATACGGAGAATACAATCGTATTACGGCTTTCGTATGATTTATGATCGGAAATGAAAATAACAATCGATGTCGGATGTTATGAAAGCAATGGATGTCATAAAAGCCTGTCTTCTTTTAAAAAGCGTGTCATTTCGATAATGAAAGAAGGTGTTACACGGATTATGTCCGCTTATAAGGTTCGGATGACTGACCTAAGCTAATGGAGTCCCCCCAGACGAGTTTGGAGATATAGGCGAAGATTCTTGTTTGTGGGCGACGTGTTTGAAAGTAAAAATACTGTCCAGGGCCGCATGAACTCTTTCACAATAACGCTATCCTATGTTCATTGGCGGTATTATAGTAATCATAGTTAAGTGCTAAACAAAATTACCGAGCTCGTAAGCGATTATAGGGACGTGAAAGAGCGTTCGGAAGTACCATTCACGACAGTTTACCTTTCTGGCGCAGTAATAGTTGCTTATTAAATATATTTTAATATGCAAATATATTATTTCATAAATATCATCGTGCAAGAGACTCAATTTTGAAATAAGAGGAGACTTCGCAGGCAAAAAATAAATAATGCATAATACAAGTTATCTCGCAAGATTGTACTACGATATGTTTATCGCGCGATTCAAATTCTTGCAATTTCGAATAATATCATGAATGAATAATTTCGAGAAATTTTGCAAATATTGAAATATAAACAAAATAGAGTCAAAGTAGTCAAGGTAAAAAAAAAACGATATTTTAGTGTGACTCAATATGGACATAGTTGCACGTAACGTTGAGAACTACTGGATTTCTAAAGCGGAAATCGCGCACCTTTCAAACATATAGGGGAGAAATTACGATCGATGGAGCAGACGGTGTGCGTGCTCGGAGTGTTAAAAAATTGCGGCCCGCCGTGAAGCGTAACAAATCCATGAAAGCATTCCAGTAGAAAATCCCGCGTTACCGCTGGGCGCGCGGAAAAGCAAACGCGCGTATGTATCGTAACCTTTCTCCCATTAGCCGTGGTTAACTCGCACATCAAGTATCATTCCAAATCATGGCATCGATCCATTTTTATAAAGGCGATATTATGCAATCCGAATTTAAAATCACCCGACCAATGAATAAGTCTGTTTTGGTCAGTCGTGCGGTGATTTCAAATTTTCGCACGAGACGATTCATGTCACAAAGAAGAAAATCGTACATGCTAACAGGGTCATGATAGAAATAAAATTGCAAAATATACTATAAAGGAAATATATAAGATTCCGGTAAAAGTATGTCTTGTTATTATTGAAAGAACTTAAGCGACTTCGCGTTCAGAAGCGTCGCCGGGCGCTGCCACTGTGCATCGCTCGGTTTGCCTCGCGTTTACCTCGCATTCAAATTACCAATTCGCGCTCGCACGGGGGGCAATAGTTTCCATTTCATTAGGCTGATTCGATGGCACCGTAAGAGCGGAATGACTTTCACGCGAAGAAATCATTCTGCTCACGCGACGCGCCTTACTAGAAATTCCTATATAGTAAGCAGCCGCTGAAGAGGGATGTGGGCAACGCGAAGAGGCCTTTCGTGACTCGAAACCGCCTTTTACGCTCGAGCGAAGAGAAAGAAGTGGGCCATCGTTTTCGACACGGGGCCCGGACAGGTCGGACTCGTCGAATATGCATCGAGCGGAAAACAAAACTGGATTGGAGATACGCAGACTGCGTATCTCTCTCTCTAATCTCGATTAACGCCTCGAGGAAGGAGAGAAGCAATTTGCATCTGACAACACGTGATCCGCCGTGATCGTGTTATCGTTCGTAAAGCATGCATCGCACCGATTCTCTCGTATGCAACAGACGGTTCGCAATCTTTTGCAAAATACGATACTCACGTTAACCATCCGTAGTCAGCTTTCCGTAGTCAGCTTCTCCTGGGATATCGCCTCGCGCCAACGAGGACCCGCGCGCCGACTTCGAGCACCTCTTCTCGTATCCTCTCCTCAGCGCTCGCGTGAGTGAGCGCTCACTCGATCATTTGTATACCGGTCTCAAATGTGGTCTTCATTCAGCACTTGATATCGGGATTCACTCCGCGCACTTGCCGTCGAGACTCTCTCTCTCTCTCTCTCTCACGCGGACACGCTGCTACTCGCGGCCGATCCGAGTTGCGATTATCTCCGAGTGTTCAAAAGTCAAGCTGTTGAAACTTCCGCATACAGGCGGGCAGGTGAAAACGAGCCGAAGGCAATGGGTGAACCGAGGCGCACTACCGCGGCCCCGCGGACGGAGCTGCTCTTGAGGTACCGACTGGCTACAACCGACTGGTCGAGGTGGTGGCTGACTGTGCGCCGACTACCCGCCATGGACTGCCGCTCGTGGATCCGATCACCACCATCTCCCGGTTGGCCTTCCTCCTACTTCTCCGGCCGTCGAGCTACTACTGCCGGCGATCCTCTCTCTTTTTCTCTCTCCCTCTCCCCGCGAGCTCTCTCCTTCCTCCGCGGGGGACGGCGAGGAAAGAGACTGATCATTGCTCAACTCGCTCAAAACTCGCGCGATACACTTGCGGACCGGCTAATTGTTATTTCGTCTATACTATCAACTGACGAGGGGTTTTCATGCGTCGGCGGCGCGTTATGCAACGGGCTTGCGCAAGAGTCGTGTATTTTTCTTTTTCTTCCTGCTGTCTGGAAAACAGCTGTGCGAAACACAGCGTGTTTTGGAGTGAATGTCCTTAGAGGAAAAAAATGCGCGGCACTGACGAGCGATTGCGAACCGTACGTGTTATTGTTCGCATTCTACCATCGAAGGATTTCGATTTTTGCGCGCGAGTGAAGCCGGAAAATCCGAACGTGTTTCGAAAATTGAACAGGGCTGCCCGCATAAAAGTGTGTTTCTTTTTACAGAACATTTGAACCGCTCTTTCTCCTCGAATGTGTTTGCCTACTTGTTAAAAGTTTCAGTACCAAAGACGTGCTCGATATCGGCAAACGGTAACCTCAAACTGTCCGCCGCCACGAATGCGAGATTCTAATCCCGCCGACATCTTATTCCGCGTTTTAGAAACGTGTAATCTCAAATGCCTCACACGGGTCTACATAGGGGAAGGTCAAGGCACATAGACGAGCACACGAGGGCCGTAATTACGGAAGCAAATGACAGGATACGCGCAGGAGCGCTGCGTGATCCAGGGAACAATGGATCGAGCGATCGATGACGATATCAAATCGTCCACGACGACAGCATGATTTCCATCTATCAGCGGCGTGGAAGCGGGTCGGTTTCGTCTCGGTCGCGGGTGGAAAGTCGCGCGCAAGAGGGAGAGAGAGAGGAGCGGTTACCGAAGTGGGAGGAGAGAACGTGCGAGGTGCAGAATCGATCTCAGGGAGAGCGACGGAGAGGCTCGATCGTAGCCCGGAGCTGTAAGGCCCGTTCTGGTGAAAGCTCGTGCACGTTGACTCCGCTCGAAAGGTTCGCTCCGGCGTCATGCCAGAAACTGTGTTCTCTCTCTTTCTCTTTCTCGTGGTCGGCAGCAGCTGATTCATTAAAAATTCTCCTTACGAAGTCGTCATCGAATATCTTCGCGTTTTCATCACGATAACGCGCGGCCAAATGCATACCTCGGCTCGGAAATGTGGACTCGACTGCTAACTAGCTGCATTTCTTCGACATTGAAACTCGTACCGCTGTAATCCGTCACCGCGACGGTTGTAATGACGCCATTACGATTCGTGTCCGCCGAAAAGCAAATGCGCAGGCGTACCCCCCGTTGGGGGAAGAAAGGTCGCAACGTTTTTGTATCTCGGCTAACTTCAGAATGTACATACATATTCGATGTCCGATAGAAAAATTTATCTCACCGATAGAAAAATCGGTCCGGAACTTGCTGAAAAGTGAATTCACCCTATTGAATACGAACATGTCGCGAAATTCATTGGGGAAAAAAAGCACGCAACCTTTTCTGCTATTAGCTGTGTGCAGAATAATATTATCAATATGAACTAGGGAAAAAAAAAGAGTCATCGTAGCAAACTATTTTGACATTATGTCATTTAATAGTGTTACTTTGAATGATATGCATTACGTGTTTCACATCGTCAGGATCGATTGTCTAATTTTATTTACGAACATACATCTCGACGGTTTCCTTTGTACATAGTGACCAAGAAAATATGTATCATTAAAGTATTATCGAGTTTTATTTTCAAGCAGTAATTAATATACAGAACGAAGATTATCCTTACATTCGCATTCTTTCTTTTTCTCTTGAAATTTCTAAATATACATGTAACGCGCTTCGTTACCGAGAATTGGAGTCTTTGCGAATGTAATCTTACAAAGTACACGAAGGATTGTACAGAGTATATAAAATAAATCAAGTTGTGTTCTTTACAAGTTACGTGTCCGATAGTATATATCATCAAAGACATAAAAATAGCGTACCTGAAGGAAGTAATACTTCCTTCCTTGTCGGCCCCGACAAGTACGAGAAATAAAGTAGATTAATCAATAGTTTTACACATAAATCTATCAAAAACCAATATTCGAAGATAGAATAATTAAAATAATGTAATAGAAATCTTTAAGTACGCACAACAATTTTTGCGTATGATGCAGTCGTAGAAAAAAGATGATGTTGTTAATAACTTTTTTCTACATAACGAACCATTGCAAAACAAAATTTACTTTCTTTCGGAAACAAGAAAATTCTACTAATTCTAAGCTCTGTACATAAATTCCAAAATAAAAAATATCCATTAAATTGTACATTAAACAACTAAAAAAAGAAATCTACTGTTTGTCCCGTTTTTGGACATATTTTAATAAAACCTTCAACTCTATATTTGTGACACGCAAAAATAATTCTTTTTCGATGGCGTATTAATACACTGCTCGACATCTCGGTCACACTTTTCGACAAGTTTACGTATCGAGCCAAATTCCAGCGTGTTTGCTGAACACATTAACATGTTCAACAAAGAACCAAAATAATATAAATAAAATCGTATAACAAAAATCAAATCCTTGAAATTTTAATTTCGATCAATCGATAACATTTATCGCTCTCTATCGAACAAAAAATATGTAATTTACTCGATCCCAATGTTTGACAAATCGAATGGGACGTGTTCCCTATCTGTCTTGCTAGAAGGGATAGAAGTCTATATAGTTATCCGCGAATTCTCCTGTTGCTTTATTTGGACATTTTAACGGCTTTCTACTGTAGATTACGTTATCGAATAGGTAAAGTACTAGAAAATCCGTTCTACAAAATTCCACCAATAATCTCTACGTCGAGGCGGATGTCCCCGTAAAAATAAAAGAAAAAAAAAATGTACAAAACAAATATACCGATGAAGAACAATTACCTTCATTATTTCCGAGCAGCGTATAACGAAACTCAGCCGTTTCATCACACCAGTAACATTAGTAGCGGTACGACCCTACTTTTATAAAACACTCATGTATTTCTCTTCTCCCCCCTCACGTTACGTGTACATAAATACTATAGAAAACGGCATATCGAATATTATATTACATTGCGCTAATTTCTTTCACTTCATCGAATTCCGCGATCCGATCAGCGGGAAGATTTGCGTTATTTTACCGATCCCCTTCGTACGGCCCTCCCTGAACAGCAGACGCATCCCAACGTGGAGATACTCCGGATGGCTGACGAACCTAAACAACACGGAGGCGGTGTCGTTCGTCTGCAAGCCCCGCTCAGTCATGTCCATTATACCCTCGATGACGCAAGTCTGCCTCACGTTACCCACATGTACAGTCGTTTGAAAGCCCGAAAATATCGCTGTCGCGTGATACAATATTAGCACCGTCGCCTAAAATGCAGCGCATTTTTATTTCAGCTCACGACGCTTTGCGAGTAAAAATATACGATATGAAACTCGGCTGCCTCGAATTTTTTCGTTTTTTCGACGAATCGACTCATACAACTTGACAGAGTGGTCAATAAACTAATTAGAATACCTCTTTACAAACAATCGTCTGTTTTCTATACTTTCAATACTATTTTCGATTTCAACCAAGTAACTGAGTCGACGAAATATGCGTGTGCGAATGAAAGAAAATGTTTCTTTCAAATTAATTTTACTAGCCGAGAGATATTTAGCCACATGTGCGCAAAAAATAAAAATGCTCAAGTACGCCAATCGATTAATTGCACATCAAGTTATCTTATACGAAATCAAATATCCGAGGCAGTCGAGTTATACATCGTATGATAAACAACAGTCACACGTACTTGAAAGAAAAGTGTCGCGTGAGGTTGATCGCATGGAGAAACTAGAACCATCCCAGGACGAAATGCTGGCAAAGGAGGGCTACGGTTTGTCGGCGGTGCCAAGGTCAGGCTAGCACTCTGCGACGCTCTAACTAAACAGCACGGAGCCTTATTGCGATGTAGACTAACCACTTTGACCGGGCTAAATTCTCCGTCTGGCAAGGGTCCTACTAACAAGCGTTTTCCCGGTGCTATCGCCCCTTTAACAAGTAATCCTCCTAAAACTGGTTGCGTCAGACCAGCTACCCTGGATCAAACAAAACGAAGGAGTTACAGTCATACATTTCTTTCTTCTACTAACGATCTGCAAATGTTGTTGTTGTACATAACACAAAAAGGATCTTTGAAAAGTAGCAATTAACAAAATTTCGTCAAATTTGTTCGTCGGATATCTCAAACAATAATTCACGCGTACCTAAAGGTCTCGTCGATTTGAAACAGACAAGATTCCGGGTCCGAGTCTATCGAATTCGTTTCGTAGGGAGCCAAATTTTTTATAAACACCGTCAACTCCTCCAGACCCTCGCCGGTGACGCAACTAACATTGAATACTGGTATCACATCGGATGTGTAGTCCCACGGTATCTCATTATTACTAAATAGCATTAATTGCTTGGGATAGCCCTGTGATCTCATGGCGTTCTCAAGTTGAACCAATGTCTCGGACGTGTCGCAGAATCCCAAGTCAATTTTATTTAAGACAATAAAAAAAGGAAGCTTTAAAGCTAAACAAAGAGCCATGTGTTCCTGCGACGCCTCGTTCAGAGGTGGTGCTATCACCAGCATAACGTGATGCGGCGAATATCCTGAAAGAATAGAAATATTTTTATATCTTTGTGTATAGAATAGAAAGAATAGAACTACTTTTATATCTTTGTGTATAGAATAGAAAGAATAGAAGTACTTTTATATCTTTGTATGTTTATATTCAAGTTATCTCTACATTGTATAGTTATCTGTATTATTACCGTGACACATATCACATATAATCACAGGGATCTAAAAATTAAACACCTGTCAACCCAAGCACCGTTGTCCTCAAATATTTCCGATGTCCAGCCAAGTCGATGAACGTGACGACTTTCGAGGCGTGTTCGCATATCTCTTCGGCAGTCGCCATCTCGGCGTAGTTCAACACATGACCCGCGCTGTCGAACCCGATGATCTCGTGTGATATCGAAGACGTACGACCTGTCTTTATTTCGTGCAGGTGACGCAACATGTTGAGTCTCGCTCTACCTCTACCATTGTCTAGCTCGCCCTGCGTCAGCACACCTACGTACAACGTATCACGTGTCAATTAGAATCTTCGCAATCGCTCTCGTTTCTTGCCGACATTTCTACAAGATGGAGGACGGTATAGCGGAGCCGGAAGGAACAACGGAAAGGCAGAGCGTAGACTGTCAGCCTATATTTCTATACCTTAAACATCCTCTGCTAATCCTCTCACCTAAGAGAGTCGACTTTCCAGCATCCTGCGCACCGGTAACCGCCAGTCTCAGATCTACGATACTGTCCTGATCCTCTCTGTCATCCTTTCGTAATTTTCTCACTAGTACTTCAGCGACTTTCTTTTCCTCCTTATTATTGTTATTGTTAGTACTATTGCTTTGCGACACCAAGGTCTTACTTGCGGAACTCGCGGCTACTCGCTCACGTAATATACTTATAGTAGCGCCCAGTCTGGAGGCCATGTCCTTCAACGTCTTTAAGGATGCCTTCATTTCCTCCTTCGACAGACCCGCTAACCTTCCGTTGTCCTCCACTCCTGCGAAGGTCAGAATTTCGCGATTTGGTAAGCAACGAGAGAAGAATATCATGCTATGCCATCGTGACTGTTCATACCAATTTGATAGATCGCCTCTCCGTGTCCCTCTTTCAGCCTCCATTTCATCTGCGTGACGAGATGTTCGAAACGTTGACTAGACGGATTTATCAATTTTAATTTGTACTCTATGTTCCCCTGCTCAGGTTCTGGTGGCAAGCAGACCTCCTGATCCCCTTCGACACTGGACGTCTCGCAGTCCGACAAGCCATTTCCCTCATTTTCCGAATCGTCCCACTGCCTTTTCCTTGTCCTCATGTTCTTGTCATCTTGTGAGTTAAAGAGTTGTAAAAACGATTCCATATCTGTAACAGAACGTATCGATATGAATATTACTATTTCATAATCTTATTCGTAACTAAATCCTGATTAGTGAGATAAAAAAATTAAGTAAAAAATATACTTAAAAATATAAGAACCAAAATAGTTTAAAATTTTTACAAAATTTATTAAAAAAGGAGCGATATGTAAAAACGTTTATAACACAATGTGTATATATAATATCAGCAAAATCTTACATTTTATATATAAGTTACTTAATATTTGGCAATAATTTTATTTTTGCAATAAAATATTTTAACATTATATACCATGTAACCATTCTTTTAAGGTATTGAAAAACTATCGCCAATCTTAAAAAAAAAATATTTTCTCATATTCTCATATTCTTTAAAAATGTTGAAAAGAATGCTGGGAAAATTTAAGTTTTATTGAAAATATTACATAATTTAGACCATAGTATAATTCTTTTCATATATTTTTATTTAATATTATTTCAAATATAAAATTCTTTACATTATAATTACAGGAATTACAGATTATATACATATATATAAAAGAAACATTCCTAAAAAATTTGACTTTGTGATATGAATAATTCCATAATTGTTATTATAAGTTACTACATAAACATTATGTATAAGACTTTCAACAGACATGAATAATATTACTTCAAGTGTTTGAGTTACAATTCTTTATTCTGAATAACTCGAATCTAAAATTCTATACTGAAGAAATGATGCAATCCTTTCAAGGAAGGGAATCTCTATTGTATTATTTCCCTAGGCTATTTACCTCTGGACAATGAAAAGTACACGACTGTATGTTCACATACCCGCCGAATGCCGTAAACAGTAGATGCAATCGGTTAAAAAACAAAACTTGTTTACTTTAACACGTTTCCTCTTGCCGAGCGATTACGTCGTACTTTCGGGATTGCCCGCGCACGTACGAGCGTCCCCGTCTCGTTCGGTACTGACACTTGCAGAGGACGTGTTGTGTTATGACACATCGTGCTATAACACAACAGTGCCGACGCTGATAACGGGTGGACGTGACGTCCCGCGAAAACGGGCTTATCGATACCGCGAAATTGATCCGCGAAATTGACGGGATTGATTGGCCGTATCGACGAACAGCTGTTGTCGAAAGTAAAAGTGACAACAGCGAGAAGGAGAAAAGAGGGAAATATTTTTAGCGCTCGAAGCGAAGACTTCGCGCTGACGATAAACGTTACGTACTGCATCTTCCGAGTTATCCCTCTCAACAATTCATATCGTTCCGTCGCGATCGTGCGTGCAAACCGACCTTCCCGTTGAAGTTGCAGGACATGATAAACGATCCTTCACCGCCACTTTCTTCTTTTTCTTCTTGTGTAATTAGGTCACCAACTGTCTGTCATTTTGCCACTGAGCGGGAACAACGAGACGTAGAACGGAAACTTGACGTCGACGACGGATAACGCGCGCACTTCACTCAAATAAATCCCCAGAAGCCAGACTTCCCTAGAATTCCAGTGGCAGATGGTGAATTCTCCCTGGTCGACTCGAACGGCAGGGATTTTCTAGCCACGACGGCAGCGCTTGGGGAGACCTAGGAATGAAATTATCCCATTGGAGGGCGAAAATACGTAATTCGAAATTCCGCGGAAAAGCGCCAAAATCGCATCGGCGTGAATTTGGCGTCGGGCCGCGTCGTCGTGACAGCTGCCCTCCCTAGAATGGCGCTTCCTCGGCGCGATAACGCGGCGTTGGTGCGGCCGCTATCAGTCGCCATCTTAGCGAGCGCGGTCGGCTCCTCTCTCTCTCTTGTGCCTCGCTCCCGTCGTATATTCTGCGCGACTGTGCGCAGCGTCGTCTCGGCAGGTAGCAGGCAGCGACCCGTCGGCGAGGATCAACGCGGCACCGCGTGGGAAGCTTGTCAGCGGCGGTGGTGGCTGCGACGACGGCGGTGGTTGTCGCCGGTGCAAGGACGAAGGCAGAGTGCGGCCGGCGGCGCGACGACGACGGGAGAAGCAGCGGCGACGGTCAAACAGCAAGGCGAAGGTGGGCGGTACGCTCTGAGCGCGCTCTCGTTTTTCTTCTGGCCTCAGCTCGTCGGGACCTCCGAGTGACACGCACGCAGGCTACGCGTGACGAATCTCTACAGAGTGAACGACGGAGCGTGCGAGAGCCGTCGAGTGAAAAAGAGGGATACGTTTGGGTGCGCGCGGGGTGGCTGATCGTTGTTGCTGACTGAGCGGGATCGAAGATGAGCTGTCAACGTAACGCCGGCAAGATCACGGTGCCGGACGACCTGCGCGACGTCCTGCTCGAATTCACCATCAGCTACCTGCTGGAACAGCCCGGCGACATTATCGACTATGCCGTGGACTTCTTTACGCGGCTGCGGGACGCCCGACAGACGCAGCTGATCCGACCGGACGCGCAGACCTGCTCGTCCACGCCGGACGAGTCCGTCGACGAGGGTGAGTCTCACCTTCGGCCTGTCTCTCTCCCTCTTTTCTCTCTCTTTCTCTCACCAGCCCCCTCTCTCTTTTTTCTGCCTCCCTCGCTCGCGACGTTTCAGGGGCGATTCCGCGGACGTCGATCAACGTTTGTCAACGTTTAACCAATTTGTTGTCCATTGTTGTCACAGGGCGTCTCAAAATCGCGGAGAGAGAACATCGTAGAATCGTCGACGGGGCACGATCGACCTGGAAATCGACGTCCCTGTGAAACGAAAATGTCGAACGGCCGTGTGTCTTTGCGTAATTAACGGTCGAGCCGCTTCCACTGTCAGTCACGATTGAACGTTATCAGTGGGCTCGACTTGAAATTATTATTCTCGCGAGCATTGACACACATTCGAAATGATCTTTATTCAAAGACGAGACATTTGTTTCTCGAGGAGAATCTTCCGCTGAAAGTCGTTAAAAACTAAACGAAATGTCTAATCCTTCTCTTCGCACTCGAACGCGCGTACACCGGATGATCTTCATTCAGGGAATGTCAATTGTCGTAATATCAGATATCTCTCGAGCATCAAGTCGAGCGTCGAGTTGAATCTAGAATTAGCAGCGCGATTAGTTATGCACTCGTATCAATATTGTAATTGCGCAAATCGAAAAAGAACCTCGAGACACGATTGTGCGATCGACAAGTTTATACGATGAAAGAAACGTTCGAGCGCAAGGTACGCGTTACGGCACTCCGGCTTTCTTTCTTTTCTTCAAAAATGATATTTACGACCGAACTGTTATCGCAATCGTCCACCGTTTTTTTTTTTTATCGTTATCTCTATCCATCGCGCAAAATTCGCAATTCGCGACAATCCCCGCGCTCTCGCGACTCCAATAAACGGTAGTATATCAATCATCAATCTGGCACTGCTCGTTCTCTTCCTCTCTCCTCTTGAGAGAGAGAGAGGGGGGGGAACAGAATTAATCTCGCGTCTATATAAAGCCTCTCTTTTTGCGCACCAACTTTATAGAGGACACGTCAAATTAGGGGTTAAAGAAGGCTGCGCCGTGACACACGTCACCCACGCGCCTGCTCCGAGATTAAGGTGCATCCAGACCTGTAACTTTATCGCGCGTGTCGCGCCGCGTCGTAAAGTCGGAGATGATACGGTTATTACCGGCGCTCGCGCACACCGCTCGCAAGCGTGCGCGTATGCGATTTTTCGGGGTAAATTGCGGCCCGCCGAGGAGGCTTGTGATCCGCCGAGGTCGCGCTACGAAGGCGGCGATATCGCCGTTGAAAGATCACACACACTGAAGGAACGGACGTGGTAGGACAGCCAGACGGAGAACTTTCCGAGACCTGCGCGTGATTTTGTCGGAGCAGACGCCGTTGTCATGTCGTCGTCTTCGTTGAAGCTGCTACTTGGTCAGTCGCGCCAGTCGGTCCGGTCAGGCGCTGTCCGCTACCGCTACCGTTCTCGGATACGAGCGCGATTCGCGCAGTTTGCGCTCGTGAGATTTTGCCGGTACACACTGCGAAATATACACCGACTCCGCGGTCTCTCGTGTCGTTTTGCTTGCCGTTGTTCGCAATTAGAGATCGAAAACCTAGGTTTTCTTCTTCTTAACTTAGGCGTTCGCTTCTCTCCGCGCCTTATCTCCCCCCCCCCCCCCNCTGTGCGAGCGTAGTATCGGCATAGATGTGACACATCCCGTGAGAACGCCTTCGGGAGGTTTCTTTTTTGTTCCTCTCCGCTTTCCTCCGACGAGAGAGGTAACCTCGCGGAGGTGCAAAGGTACGACCGAACGAATGTAAAGCGGCCCTGACGAGAGTCTGAGTCGCGCGGGCCGTCGGTAAACACACGCGCGGGATTTCGAGAGCCTCCTTTGCATTCGTTCGATATCGCGTATCTCTCTTGATATCATCTGCCTCTGTTCACAGATACATTGTATCCGTAGTTTTAGGGTTTCGGAAGGGAAAAAAAATCGGCTTTCCTCCCATTTTCCTGTAGGTTCTCTCGGTTTCTTATCTTTACGGGGAAAGGTAAATGTGGCAGATTTCAACTGGACACACGTGAATTCTCCCAAAACGAATCTCCCTACCCTTGGGACAGAAATCGAAGACATCCGCGGAGAAATTGCAAAGAAAACAATGAATCCGAGTTTTTCTTCTTTCCGAAACTTTCAAACTACAACATTCGATTCTTTCGTTCGTGGAGGTTAGATAGCGGAAGGGTGAACATGCGGGGTATCGCTCATGCCGAAACTTTCGCCCTGTGTGTCTAAGGGCTAGAGAATTGCGAGGAAAGGTCGTCGGACACGAATTTCACTCGGAATTTCATCCTCGTTCATCTTTTAATGAGCATTGCGTAAGAGATTCGGCACAATTCCGCGACACAATACTGAAATAAATACTCCGCGCGCATTATCATTGTAATAATCATCCCGCATTCGTTACGTTTCACGCCTTCGCTCTGGTATTAGTGTTTCGCAGCGCTCGTACCGTGACAAATTCATGTGCAAATAAGTTATTTGTGAGCGAAACCGCAGACACACGAGGTATAACACCCCCTGCTGCTGCGCCGCGTCGTCGGTACGGCTTTGTTTCGCATCGAGTGCAGAAAAGTGGGCATAAGCGTACAGCGGGCGGCCAAGACGAATTCTATCTCGTCCTCCCGCGCCGAGTCTTTACCGCCGTTGCCACCGTCGTCGTCTTCTCCGCGGGCCGAATGTCGCTCATCTCCGTCATCGAGCCAGTGGATGACAAAGGTGCGAAAGTAACAAGTGGAGTTAATTAATTCCGAGTACTGTGCGAGAAGAAATTCCTTTTCAAACGGTGTGCCGAGAAGCCTGGACATTTTCGTCGGGAAAAGAACATTCGCAGATTCCTCGAAAAGCTCCCGCGAAATCGCAAAAAATTTTCTTCCCTCTCTTTCCCCTTCTCTTCCCCCTCTCTCTCTCTCTCTCTCTTTCTCCCTCTCTATCTCTCTATCTTTCTTTCTACTTTATTCTTTTAATTACGGCTTCGTCGGCGGTTGACAAAAAAAATGAGTGCCCGCGCCAATGCAAGTTTTCGCATTAGCATAATTGAACAACTGATAAGTTTTTGCACGACGAGCTCGCGTTCTATATATCGAGTTCTCGGAAAGTCCCCTTTCGCAAGCAATTACCCACTTACGTAAACGCATCGAGCATAATTCGGCAGGTGGCTAATCGGCGCGAGCGGCGCGCATTGCCGGCTAGTCAGCTGCGGCGGAATTCCACGCGACGACGTTCCGTCGTCGTCCCGTTCGCGATGGTCTCTCTCGCAACTAAGTGTCTCCCGCCGTCTAAGTCCGCTTAGGGTTGCTTAGAGAATCGCACATCACATACGCACGCACATTCTTGGCAGCTGTTTCGCTCGATGTCGAACGACATCGGGTCGGTTTTCCGCCTCGCCTCTCTCCACGCTTGATCTTTCTTTCGCGGTTTCTTCCTTGCCTTCCACCGGTGCCGCCACCGTTTCATATTAATATGCATTAATGAGTACGTCGGAAATAACCGCTACCGGACTGCTTACGATGGTCCTAGCACGTCTCTCATTTCCTACTTTATGCTCGGCAGAGTATCCCGTTGCAACTCGGCCGATTCAATTTGACTTCTTCGCGTCTCACTTCTGGCTTTGATTACAATTACGCCGGGGACTTGAATTGAAATGCCTCTTCCACCGTTTCAGAGCCACCAGTCGGCCGATTCGCCACCAGAAGGAAGAGCGTCTTCGCGGAGACCTACAATCCCGAGGAAGATGAGGAGGATGATGGCTTCAAGGTGTGTCCCTTTTGCGCAGTTTCACCGTCGCGAATCACCACGGGCGATTTTCCGCGATAAATCTCTAGATGAGTGCGTGAAGTGTGTCGTCGCAAAGATATTGCCAAGGTCTCGCGTTTATATTTAGAGAAAAAAAACGGCTTGGCTGAACAGGACTAAAGAAACGTCAAGTTAATCGAACAGATCGTGTGCCTCAACAAATTTCACCGATACGCGCACGCGCGCGCTCGCGATAATCATTGATATTTAATTAACTGATAATTCGTTGTATTAATTATTTGTTATTTATTCAATCAATTTGATAATTGCTCGAGGTAGGGCAACCGTTGCTTTTACTTCACGCGTTCCTCCGACACGGAGAAAATATTATAGTAAATATTACCACCGAATTTTGTAATGCTCGACCATACCGGAATTATGATGTGTGCTGTAATCATTAGTAATTTGTGTTATGTGTACACATCTCTAAAGATTACAACACACTTCGGTCGTAATCTCAGTATGGTCCAGCATTACAAGATTTTGTAATCATTTTTCCTGCAATACTTTCCTCGTGTATCTATTTTGCTCTTCCTCTCGACAGACGACAAAATTCGTACGGCGCCCGTACTCATTTTAAAATTCCCACATTGCGTTATATATTATCACGTGTCCTCTTTACCCATATCGAAGAAACCGCAAGTGTCAATTCGTGGAAGACGATCGCGCGTCACCCCTTCGTTAAGAAAATTTCCTTTTATCGCGCAACGTCAGTCTTTCCGTCTAGCGATAAAATCTACAAAAATAACGCGGCTCCTTCCGACTCGCACCTGACTCGCCGGATCGATGAAAACCGACACCGTCGCGATCATCGATCGCGGAAATGATCGGCGAAAATCTCGTTTCAGCCGCGAACGCATCGACGTGACGCGCAACAGTTCTCGCGCGTTTATTATCTTAAAATGAAAATACCCCGTGTGTGAATTTTCAGGTCAACCTCATCGTCTGCGCGTGCGTATCGGATGGCACTTCCGCGCATATTTTCGTATCGAGTATGGCGCGACGATGAATACATATTCAACAGGAGCGATCTGTTTTCCCTTCTTTCCTTTTTTTCCTTCTCTCTCAGGGCCGAAAGAGGGCAGAGAACAAGGGAGAATGGCACGCGCAATGATCTCGTTACGAAATACGTGTATGTGTGTCGCCTATAAAGCACCGTTTATCACGCGTTATTCCTGCGAGAATAATTTCGCGACGCAACGCGCGTAGGCAGCTTCCAGAGGAGGACCACTTGATGTCCGAGAAAAGAATCGATAGACCTTTTCCTATTTTCAATGTTCACGAGCGAGAGTCGCTTCATCATGCATCGCTTATCGATTGTTTCCTTACGGGGATATAGATTCTCCAACGTGTCGTTTTTAGGAACGGGAGAACGCGTAACAATGCATAACATCGCGTGCTACGTGCTCGACGTTTGCTTTCTCTCGCAGCGTCGCTGATGACGTTGGCGTTCGCTCGTATTTTCAGAGATTTCGGTGTGTGTTTCGGACGTGGCCTATTGATTATTTCCCGACACGACGGAGAATTCGTTGAGCAGATCGAGCGAAATATGAATTTTTCATATCAGTCCAGCGAGATAAAAGCCGGTTTTATAATAAATTCCGTCATGTTTTGCGCGCGAAGGATGTCGACGACAAACCTGCCTTCGGAAGAGGCAATTGGCTTTTTTTCGGTAGTAGCAGAAAATAGTCTCGTTACGAAACATTGTCGTGCACTGTGTGCACATACACATGAGGTATATAATATAATATACCGTAGTCTATAAAGCGTCTCTCCCCCTCTCGCTCTCTCTTCCCTCCTCTCTTTCTCTCTCTCTCTCTCTCTCTCTCACTCGCTCGCTCTCTGTTCCTCTCTTTCTCTCGGGCTGCCGCGCGAGTGACGAAACGCGACGAAGAGTTACTTTGCTCGGCGATGCGAGGCGATGTACCTTTGTGACGTCAGGTCGCGTGTTCGATAACCTGGCACGGACGGTGATTTACATGTATGTACCTATACCGTCGTGTACATACGTATATATATATACGGTACATACGTGCACGTGAGCGAGCGAGTGCGCTCGTGAATGAGGGTGAAAGAGGGTTGTGTTGTAGAGTAAGGTTTGCGAGAAGGATCGCCGCGCGCGCAACGTCGTCGGTTCGAGAGCATTTCACAAAGACCATCCGGTGAATCCGATTATCGATGCCGTGGTTACACGACGAGAAGGAGAATCGGCAGTGCCTACCCGCCGCCGGGACGGCGTATTATATTTTACGTGCTGCTGACTGGGACAATAGGCAGAAAAAACTGGGACACTCGCGATTTTCAAAAGAGAGACGACGAAGAAACTGGAACGAACCTTCGACGATCTTCCGCTATTTATGACGAAAAATGATGACAGTGTAATCGTATATGTGGTCAGTCATAAAAAGTTTGCGACACTCGAGTATCTCTCGATGAGTTTCATAACGCGTCTCGTATCTAACAGCAATACGTGTCTTCTGAGAGAATTATTAAAGAATAAATTCTCTTATTGGACATGGGAGACGTTCCGAAACTTGTCGAAAGAAAAAGTGCTGCAACCTTCGTGTGACTAACCATAGAAATAATATATGCGAACGACAAATAGAACGCGCGGAATCGACGTATCTGTCTTTGCATTGAAAAATAACGCGCTGAATTTTAACTAGCGCCGCGAACACAGAGTCAAAGGTTTCTTTGAATTCTCAGTATACACGTTTGTTTGACTTGAGTTTGTTTAATATAAACAATATCATTTAATATCAAATGTCACTTTCTTTGAATGAAAGTGTTTCACCCGAGTGTTATCGATAAAAAAATGTTGTTTGACGGAGAAAACAGTATTATTCAGAAGAAACAATGCTTGATTTTCAACAAATGAAAAATTTATCTCATTATATATTAAATATTTTTTTCCGTTGAAAGAAAGAAAGAAATTCTTTAATATTTTCCTAACCTAGTGTCCTTTCAAATAATTTATTGTCTGTAGAAGCCATTGCAATATTTGGATAAAAATACAAATGAAATGTGTTGCTTGACGTAAAGAGATATTTGTTGTTCAGAAACCAAACAATCCTATTTGTCGAATTAAAAGTTCGTTTAATTGCTCTGTTCTGAAAGTTTCCAAATTTGTCTCGATGAAAGAAATTTGATCAAATCCAAAGAAATCTTTTCCTCCGCGCAGACCGGAAGACACAGCTAGCGTGTCGTTGACGATCGTGACGAGTCGCGCGATCTTCCTCGATTTTTTCGCCACGGGAAAAGAGCGACGGAAGTTTCGACCGTGAGCGAATGTTGAGGCTTCATTGAGGCTTAACGCACGACGAGTCGGAAGTCGGCTCTATTAACGTTCCAGGCTCGTCGCGAGCGCGCGCGCCCGCGCGCAACATTAAAAAGTATAATGCGGCTCGGCGCGAAATTAACAGTTTTACAGGTGGCGAGAAACGGCGTGGCTGACCCTCTCGATGAAGTTCTATCGTACGATGCACACGGCACAATAGCACGCGGCCGGTAACGGTAAAGCGACGGCCTCCTGCAAAATTGATCGCTTTTGTGTGCAACAATCGCGACGATAACGAGACAAAGAACTTGTCGCTCGCAGAAACTGATTACCCCCGCGAATATCTCTAATTGGAAGGAGGAGGCGGAGAGAAATCATCGAGCGCAATAACAGCGTAAAATTCGGGAAGGGACGCTATCTCGAATTTGCACGGTTGGACAGTCCTTAAAACTGAAAAATGATGAAGCGTCTCCCTTCCGAAATAATGGCGAGCCAAGCTCGCGCGCGGGGTAGAGGTCAAAGTTCACCGCCGCCGTATACCAAGTCCGACGTAAAGGGCGATGTATCTCAAGTCCCGCTTAAGATATCGAATTTACCGGTTGCGACCTCTTAGGGAGAATTGCAACGTTGCGGAGAGTAAAATAGGTCTTCGTATAAAATACGGTCTCGAGAATCTGTCGTGGTATACGGGGAGAGAGGTGACGGCTAGAGGAACACGTTAAAGATCGTTACAGATCGACGCTGTAGATTCCGGTCGTTTGACCGACAATGTGCTCGGGGAAGGGAGGGGAGTTTTGTTTGAGTTGTTTTCCCGTCTGCACTTCGTTCATGTCCTTACGTCCGCTCGTTTCAGATGGTCCATCCAAAGAGCGACGAACAGCGACAAAGGCTCAGCGAGAGCGTTAAGAACATACTTCTGTTTCGCGCCCTAGACGAGGTAAGTTAAACATAGTGCGTTCATCAGCCTTGATTAGCGCAACAGGAATATAACGAGGCTGGCTACTGCGCGCCAGCTCGGCGAAATACCAAGAAATCCACGAATAATCTTTCTTATTAGGGGCGATCGGTCTTGCCTGCGACAAAGCTGATCCGCGCGATCGATGTAATAATAATAATGACGACGGTGACCGATAATGATAATATTAATATAATATTATAATATGCGATAAAATAATGTATAATGGAGTATATAATAATAGTTTGAAATAAGTAATAATCGAAATAATCAACCAGCGATTTTTAAAATGAGAGATTCATGAGATTTCATACTTCGATGCCACTTTCACCGTGGGTACCGTTTAATTACCAACTTGCTCAACGTCTCCCGTAAATGTGAAAAGGCTCTCGATAGGGGGAGGCAGTTTTCCTGAAAATTCTCGTTAGGCGAAAGCTCCGTGTCGATTGAGAATTCGCGAGCGAGAGGAAACCACCGCGACAGCGAAACGCTTCGTGTATTCGCACACGCACGAATATATTTATAAACGTATAAACGCGTCGTTACATTGATTGCTGCCGCGATATTAAGGTAATTCCCGTGCTCCTGTCACGCTTTTAAAGCCGATCTTTTTAAATATCGCATGGCAACGCCTTAGCGCGAGACACGCGAGTAATAAAATTACTTTTGCAGGAACAAATGGCGGATGTATTGGACGCGATGTTCGAAAAAACCATTCAACCGGGAGAATTTATTATCCGACAGGGCGACGATGGTGACAACTTTTATGTGATCGAGAGGTAATACTTTTTCTTTATATTACCGTTAACGTATCGATGGGCTTCTCCCTTCAGCGGGAAGTTCCAATGAACCAAGAGGCGATGCACAGACTCGGCCGGTTTAGCTTATGGCTGAAAATAATTCGAACGGCCGCGCTTTACTCGAACAATTTGATTGGACTCGAATATAGAACTGCCTGCTCGAGGACTTTCGATTATTGGATTATTCGTGGCAATCGAATAAACGCGAAACGTGTCGAATATACTCGGGCATCGAAAGTTTTAACGAGTCGATATCAACGTTCCCGACAATTTTAATTAAGATAATAATCAAGCATTGTTATCGAGAAACGAGCACCAGACGTCTCGATCCGCTTCGCAGCTTCTTCTGTAGTTGTGTGCATGTATGTGTGTGTGCGTGTGTGTGTGTTTAACGTAGCCACTGTCAACGTTCAGTTGGACAAACCACAATCGTCACCCCACATTTTTAGCTTCCTCCTTTTCCATGCGATAATGTAAAGCAGACTTTATCCGTTTATGTAAACATTGAGCGGGAAATTATCGCCGTCACGCATGTATGACGTCGATCTCACGGGAATCGGTGCGTCACACGTACGTGACGCGTGATAGCGAACGCGTTCAGAAAAAGAAAGCTATACTCGTGATTCGTCTCTCCTCATCGCGTTTTTTCACGCATCAAAGGAGCCGGTTCATCCCGTGCGAAATTGCGCGTTCGTAACCGCGAAATCGCTCGTTTCCTTATTCCCCGTCTCTCTTCACATCTCGTGTTTCAGGGGGAAATTCGAGGTTTACGTGAAGGATCCCACGGGGGTGGACAGTCTCATTCACACTTACGATAATCGCGGTGCTTTCGGAGAACTGGCCCTTCTGTACAACATGCCCAGAGCAGCCACCGTCAAAGCTATCACACCCGGCACGCTCTGGGCCATGGACAGGCAAACCTTCCGGCGTATTCTTCTCAAATCCGCGTATAAGAAGCGCAAAATGTACGAAGACCTCATCAACAAAGTGCCGATGTTGAAATCCCTCGAGGCAAGTATCGCGCATGTCTGTCTTTTAATAGCCTCTCGTACTCGTATCTTCGTGAAGCGGAAAAAATAGGATGATAAAATTAATATCTTATTGCGAAACATTAAATATTAATATTTTATCATCGCACAGTATATTTATACGTATTAATATTTTATATATCATCATTTCTTTTATAAATAATGTTATACGTATTTGTTGTACACATTTATATTTCATGTCTGTTATGTTTATAATTGATCGAAAAATCAAGTCGCTGTACGGAAAGTCACGCGTATTCACGAATCTTCAAAATGTCGACTCTGTCGCGACACTCGGACGGTACGTTCGTTCGCGTGTAATCGTAAAAATTCCCTTCCAGTCTTACGAGCGCATGAATTTGGCGGACGCCCTCGTACCAAAACAGTATTCCGACGGCGAGCAAATAATCAGGCAGGGCGACACGGCGGACGGAATGTACTTCGTCGAGGACGGCATCGTCAGGATCACTATACTCGGCGAGAACGGCCGTGAAATCGAGGTGCATTTATATATATATACGTTAATTTAGCTCCGCGAAATGCCAAACGACGGTTTCCACGGCGACGAGCGCGCCAAGAAAAGTCCCGGCTCCTTACTCATCCGTTACCTTTAATATCGCAGATTAATCGCGTTCCGGCCGGCGGTTATTTAGGCGAACTGGCACTCGTAACGCATAAACCACGTGCTGCTTCGGCCTACGCTGTAGGGGACATCAAACTGGCATGTAAGTTTGTTTCGTTAACGCGAGATTTTCATTACGTTTACGAATCGACAGGTTGGCCAATAACACGGCAGTATATATCGTGTTATCGTGATAATTGCGAATGTCGGTATTAATAGCCTAGTAATTAGGAGATACACCGTTATTTGTTGCGCGTTTAATTTGTTTTTCTTTTCAGATATTTATAAAATATCTCGCGTGTATATCTCTCACATTCAAACATTCCTAACCAGAAGCGATGCTCTGCGGTGTTTCAACTCGCTCTCCATGCGTTATTATTACTGCCATTAACTTCTCCGCGAATGAGCACATTTCAAACCAGCGAACGTATAGAAAAAAATCAATTTACAATATTGAGAGAGAACTGCGTATGTACGAAACGCGCGAACGAAAAACGCGCAAATATTAAATTCGTACTGCACGTAAATATTTGATTAAAGGGGGAATAATTTCGCTCGTGAACGAATTCAACGTATAAGCACGTATAAGCACGAACGAGAGGAAGTTAATTATCCAGCGCGTCCGAAATAGGGAAGGAAAGAGGGGAAGGGGGAAGGTGGGGTATTCCAGTCGCTCACTCACTCACAAACGACTGTTGCTCGTTTGCAGTTTTGGACGTTGAGGCATTCGAGCGTCTGCTCGGCCCGTGTATGGAACTTATGAAACGTAATATTGACGATTACGAGGATCAACTAGTCAAAATTTTCGGCAGCAAAACCAACATCTCGGACATCCGATGAACTGTCCCCGGGCAGCTCGTCATCGCCGCGCCGCTGTACTAGAGACACGACGCCTTTCGTACAGCGTAATAATAATAATAATAATAATGTATAAGGAGCACAAAAAAGAACTTGTACCACCTACTTCTGAATCTCATCCGCGTGTTTTCGAGCATCATCTCTCCGAGAGTCGACTTTCGTATTGACTATTCACCTAGACATATACCGGTGTAAGATTCGTCGATGATAGTTACCAAGTTTATACCTGTGACACACACATTGAACGAAAAAAGGCCGCTCTCCGACGACTGTGTCGTGTATGTAACACGATATCGACAACAAAAACACGGTATTATATAACATATTCTCTCCAAGACTGTATGCGCTAGAATATGAATGTGAGAGCGTTATAGCGCGTTCCGCCCGCTCGGTCGGTCGGTCGCGAAAGTCGTGCGCGAGTATTTTCAGGTGTTCTCTTAGCTGATTTTGCATTCGCGCCGTCCGTGGTGTCGTATGTCCCTCGGAAACGCCGGGATTCGGGGGCAGCGTTTTTATTAACATCCGACTTATCCCCGGAATCGACTCGACATTGCCTGTCTCGATGTATATCTCGACCTGTGTGCACACACGACCACACACACTCGCGCGTTGTTCGTTTCGAGGTAATCGGAAGTAAAGTTATAATTTCCCTTGTTTCTTTGCACGGCACCGCCAAAAACCCGGAATATTCGAAATCGAATGCTTCTTCTCGTTGAACTTCTCTTCTTGGCCGGGGATAAATTGCAGGATATACGGTTGTTCAGTCACGCTAAGACGCTCGTGACAGTCTCGCGAGAATTTTAGAGAAAATACCTATAACATGCATATCACTCTTCCAGAGATAATGAAAGTAACATATTGCCGTCGTTGAACCGATGAGAAAAGGGAAAAAAGGCGGAACTATACGATACTCTTTGATACCTCCCCCCACCCCCGCATTCAGCAACAAATAATATCTTGAAATATCAGATGCGACAATCAATGTATTTCACCTTTATAATTTGTGCATTTTGGACGCGCAATCCGCACTCCACGAGTGAACACGCACATACACGTACACAATATACGTCGCACGCGGCGCACATGCTCGTGATAAAATAATTTCTAAGCACGATAATAATATATTTGATGTGTGTTTTCAGTCCGCATAATAGTATTTCCATTCCATTCTTTTACTATAATTACAGCTTTTCTATATGTGGAGTATTTGATTAACAATCGTCGTTTACGTTTCTACGATGGCTCTTTTAATCGGACGTGATTAGATAAATCTCTTCGGTGCGTGCCAATTTCGTTGAGACTCACGCACGTCCTGTGTATTCCGGCGTGGCTTTTACGCTTTATAGATTTTACACAAGACGCGTAAATTTCACCAGAAATTCGGCGAGAACGCACTCCCGTACTGAGGATTAACTTGCAATTATTTGTGGTTGGGAAGTAAACTAGCGCACAGTATTCCGTACTACTAGTTTTTCGCGTCTAAGAGAAGATATCAGTTGCACATTCTAAAATCGCAGATCTACTCTCTGAATCTGAGAAGAAGACACATATTTCATCGACCCGTAACACCGTTACCGCGCCAATTATGTTTCACACTTCCGTCACGGTAATGTCACCCTGGGTAAAATCGCCGATTCACAAAACTCACTTGTTTACCGTTGAAGGGTATATCGTTCACGCGATCGCAAGACTCGTACAAACGCATTCTATTTCGGATATAGAACAACTTGCTACACGCGTAGAGAATCCAAGATTAGCGAGCCTTAAAATTGGCTTAGACGTGCGGACGCGTAACGATGCGTTGCGAAGCGAGTTTCGTTGCTTGTGTGTATGTGTGTGTGTGTGTGTGTGTGTGTGTGTGTGTGTGTGTGTGTGTGTGTGTGTGTGTGTGTGTGTGTGTGTGTGTGTGTGTGTGTGTGTGTGTGTGTGTGTGTGTGTGTGTGTGTGTGTGTGTGTGTGTGTGTGTGTGTGTGTGTGTGTGTGTGTGTGTGTGTGTGTGTGTGTGTGTGTGTGTGTGTGTGTGTGTGTGTGTGTGTGTGTGTGTGTGTGTGTGTGTGTGTGTGTGTGTGTGTGTGTGTGTGTGTGTGTGTGTGTGTGTGTGTGTGTGTGTGTGTGTGTGTGTGTGTGTGTGTGTGTGTGTGTGTGTGTGTGTGTGTGTGTGTGTGTGTGTGTGTGTGTGTGTGTGTGTGTGTGTGTGTGTGTGTGTGTGTGTGTGTGTGTGTGTGTGTGTGTGTGTGTGTGTGTGTGTGTGTGTGTGTGTGTGTGTGTGTGTGTGTGTGTGTGTGTGTGTGTGTGTGTGTGTGTGTGTGTGTGTGTGTGTGTGTGTGTGTGTGTGTGTGTGTGTGTGTGTGTGTGTGTGTGTGTGTGTGTGTGTGTGTGTGTGTGTGTGTGTGTGTGTGTGTGTGTGTGTGTGTACACGAAATAATGTCAAAAGAAAGACGCGCACTTATGGCGACTTGCTACATATGTGCAAACACGATCGCTACGGGAACGAGAAAGAAAGACACGTGCGTTACGTAATCGCTCTGCGATGATGCGCGTCGGTAATCCGCAGTAAGTGCCGTCGTCCGCGTGAGAACGCGGAGGAAAAAACGCGAGAATCCCGGCGAGAAAAAAGTTCGGCGCGGTGTCCGCGCGTCCAAGCCAACGTGCGCTACATTCAAGTGTGTCTCGCCGATAAATCGTGGTAACGAGATCGATCAATGAGAATCCGTCAACTTATTTTTATTACGTGTGCACACGATATACGTTATATACATATATATGTATGTGTATATATATACATATATACACACATGTAAACGATATACGTCTGTCGTGGTGATAAAGAAAGTCCGGTCGGGAACTCGATTCGATCGTTGTTGTACGAACAAGTGCGAATACTAGTCACTTTTTACGATCGTGTGCCATTATCGCGATCTCCTCCTGACGATCACGCTCGGTCGCAAGGCAATCGAGAGAAAACTTTTTATTACACCGTGTGAACCGTGTATATTTATTGCGCGAGCGAAACGCGAGACACGGGGCTTTTTTAAATAATATCACAATCGTGCGAGGGAGAAAGGGGAGACTAGTTATCACACAGAGGTGAGATTAAACGGAGACTTGTTAGTGACAATTGGAATTATTAGTCGTATTTTCATTATTGTTGATTCTTCACGCGACGTCTCGCGTCACCTTAATTTATTAGTCGTCTCTTTTTCTTTTTCCCCCTCTCTCTCTCTCTCTCTCTCTCTCTCTCTCTCTCTCTCTCTCTCTCTCTCTCTTCCTTTCTTTCTCTTCGTTTAACACGCGAGACGCTTCGAGCCGAATCTCGCGCGCCGTTGTGTTCAAGCAAGTAGATTTTAACGTTTAACGGAGGAAATATATATCAGACCAGCGATCTACGGAGAGAATTCACGCTCTTTAACATTCACGCGATGGAAAACTGTTTTTCTTTTCGGTGTTATAATATCAGCGTCTTTAGTCTTCCACTGAGTGTCTCCAGGCTGTGATATTATTTTCGACTGAGTATTTCATTCCTCTTTCTCGTAGACTCGTTACGAGAAGAAAAAAAGAAATTAAGGAGAATATGAAGGATATCTCGTAAATGACTCGACTTGTCGAATTCGTGAGGCATCAAATTGGTGGATTATACCTTTAATTGTGACTCGGCCGATGTTGTATTCTGTGTATACATGATAAGTACGACGAAAATTTCCAGAAACCACAAAAGTGACACGGTCATTGCTGAACACGAGAAAACACATCGAAGTGTGTTTGCAAAAAAAAAAAGGAAGAAAAAGAAAGGAGAAGAAAAAAACAAAAACACAAAGAAATAAAAAGAAACGAAAAAAAAATTATTCGCACACGCGCACACACACACTGATTAAAATCGATACGCATAAGTACTTATTACTTGTGTTAGGTTACATTCGCGATGAAATTAAGTGTAAAGCATCGAGCAAGCTAGGCAATCTATCCAATTCGCATTATTGTGTGTATCTACCATGTGATTCGTCTTACATGTATTGCGTGTTGCCCTTAGTATGCCTGAGAGTACGCGTATGTGTGCGTGTATTGTATCGTTTGGTGTGTTATGCGTACGTGCGCGCGCGTGTGTGTATATGTGTGTATGTTTATGTATGTGTGCGTGTGTGCATTATGACGATAATTTGTTAATTTATGTTGCTTCGTCGATAGTTTACGCTCTTCTCCCCCGATAGTTGTATAATTCATGTTATATCGTCATGGAAGATAATGCAATACACACCGAAAATGTCCTATGGATGAATATTGTAATAGTGGTAGTGATAGTAGTAGTAATAGTAGTAATAGAAGAAGAAGAAGAGAGTACGCCTTACTGTGCCACTAGGGGATCTTCGCCTTTCTACTTCCAAGAAAAAGAAAAAATGAGGAAAGATCTACGAGGAGTCGAAGGGAGATGCGAGATTTCGTTGTGCGCTGAAATTCTGAATTTTGTGTGTTCGCACGCGCTACACGTTCACAGCGACGGGATTCGAGTTCGCGGGAAGGAATTAATTCCTCCCTCGCGGGCTATGCAGCTACCGTAGAATCTCGAGCACCCCCTCTCGAGCAGCCGATAAATGGGCGGAAGGCCTTGAATATCTCGATAGACTCTCGACAGTTCTAACAAATCTAAAATTCTCGCGCGAACCTCGAGAACTCGTCGGAGCTCTCTTGATCATCGAGGACTTCGGCGGGCGGAAACCGCGAAAATCGCGCGCGAGTGCGATGCTGCTTGTTGTAAATATTACGCGTCGTTATTATAGCAATTGAGGTCGCGCGGGAAATCGCTTCTACCTTCGGATTTTTTATGTCTGATACAGATAGCGCGTTTTCGGCGTCGAAGCTTTTAACGAATGTTGATCCGCTTCTCGCGGGATTCTTGTTCTCCCCGGAGACTTTCGACGGCGCCCTTCTTCTAAAAACTGTCGACCGAGTCTTTCGAGATGTTCGAGCGGCATGTTCGGAGCGCTCGTTTCTCCGACACTAACTGTATCGCGATTCTAGTCCAATGCGACACGTGACGTAGTAGAGAAATGTCTCCGACCAAATATAGCCGTGTATCGAGACAGAAAAGGGTCAGCGACTTTGACCAAAGCGCTGACTGCATCCATGATACGTGCCAGTAACACTTACTGTTTATCTATCACGCGTAATTTCCGTTCTAGCCCCCTATCGCAACGGTTGCGTCGTGTTCCACGATGTGTCCGATCGTGTCGAAATGTATATGCATGTCGTTACAACGCATCGGCCATGCCATCGTGCGTGTGACAGTGCACACAGCCCGCGCATCGGACCAATTTTCCACGGTTGAGAGCGGTTGAACTTGCGGCTGATTTTCTTCTCGTATTTCTTCTCTCTCTCTCTCTCTCTCGTGCGCAAGCTTCGCCGTGTATCGGCGAGTTTCTCTTCGCCGACGTGTACGGTCGGCCGCAGAAAGTAACATTTTTTTTTTTTTCAACGAGTTTCACAACGCATCTCATGTCCAAATGGAAAAACGTATATCCTGAAAATGATTAAAAAGCAAATTCTCCTATTGGACACGGAATTCGTTTCGAAATTTATAAGGAAAAATATGTCGCAACCTTTTCATGACTGATCATACACCACTCCACTCATGCGGCCGTGAAAAAAGAACGTGAGAGTTTTCGCGTGAAATATCGCCATCGACGAAAATCCGTTACTTATATCGGGTGCTTTCCATTTGGTGACACAAGTCAACACAAGCATCGATCCTGTCTTTGTTACTCACTGAATGTGGAACAAAGACAAAATGATGCTTGTGTAACTAAATGGGAAGCACCTAATTATCACGTTTCGCTAATCGTACGCGACTTCAAGTGTCATCTTCGCGCATTCGCCGCGGACGAACTCGGCGAATGCGAGCCCTAGTCCTACGCGTGCACTCGAGAGAAATTTCTCCTAAAGTGCGATCTCTCGATTCTTGAGGCATGCTTTTGTGACATGAGAGGAGGCAATTCGGTTGCGTGCTGACAATCGTCCGGTGTCGCAATGTATGTATGTACAAGGCTTGTGTGACAAAAGTAAATTGACGTTTTCACGTTTCGCTCCTTCCCTCGGTTATTATCGTTCGTAATGACAGATTTTGCGGTCTTGACCAACATTTTGTCGTTACTCTTTCCTTCATTTTAATGCCAAAGTATTTCGTTACGAGAAGATTACACGTTGACACTTTTTTTTACCTTGTTGAAACTCGACAACGACGATACGACTTAACCCGTCACAGACGTCGCACGAATGTGCCGAAAAAGGAAGAAAAGGGAAAATACAAGTACGCGGATACGAGAAATTGGGACGTTTCAGACCCCAAAAGTACCACAAAGTCTCTTTCTCTTTCTCCCTTTGTGTGTGCTTTCGTTACTTTTGCGTCTTCAAACCAAAGCATGATAAAGGGAGAAAACACTCTTTTTTCTTTCTTTCTTCTCTCTCTCTCTCTCTCTCTCTCTAATTGTAATAAATGTTTAATAAATTTAGAGTATACATTAGCCTCGAAATGTGTACACGTTGCTTGATGCGTGACGTATATTGTATACATGCGAATAAAACAACTCGCGGAACTCCTTTGTGTTCCATTAACGACGTTCAAGAAGCCGATCTTCTGGCGAGTTCTCGGATGAGTTGTCGCACGTGCTGCTTAAAAGCGAGAGAGAATCACGTTGAAACTCACGCTGCGAAGTTCTAATCTCGTGTAACTCGTCCGACGACGTGTGTCCACCCGATGTGTCGATATTAACCGTTATAACTTGTAACTTCAAAAGAAGAAGAAGAGAAGGAAAGGAGATCCACGTAGAGAGACATGTAGTCCTTTTTCCTTGCGCAAGAGCATCAGCATCGCTTACTTCAGGCAGATATTTTACACTAACTTTGTTATATAATAATAATAATATTTATTATATAGATGAGATGTAAATGATATAGTCTGTGTGTTTGATTTCTGACGAGTTGCGAGATACGAATCCGTTGTTCGCGAGAAACGAAAGGTCCGATTAATTTGATCAGTATTGAATTCAATAGTATTGTTTACGGACAAGATCGTTCAACTTGCGTCGACGTCCCTCGGGAAACGAGATTGTTCCGTCGTAACCGCGACTCTTATGTTCACTCTGCGTGTGTGCATCGAGGATCTTCATACGTATTTCCCGACGCGACCCGCTCAAATCGCATCATCTTGCATCCAATAATATCGCTTGGAGCGCGACCCATCCCGCCCGCCGCCCCGCCGGAAATGTATATTTAAGCTGAATAGATTTTATACATATATATATGCGCATGCGTAGGAACATTTCTATTTACGACAAACCGTGTTGTAAATTATGAGATAGTAATATACGTACTTAATGCCCTTTCGTTTCGCAATTTGTGTCATATATATGGGTGTGTATATACATATATATAAATATATATGTGTTACACACACACACATATATATCTATACATGATCATATATATTTAGATATATACATATATAGCATATATTATGTACACACAGTTGTTAGGTATGTATACACATATATACATATATTAAAGATATCAGTATATATGTCGACACTCGTTTCCAGCTGGTCTGATCGGGTATAATTCGTAATAATTATAATGTGTTAAACAGTCTCTGGCAGCGATGCGGTTCAAAAGTTAATCGAGAGATTCGCATGCAATCGCACGATTTATTGTACGATATATGACGCAGATGTATGTCCATATATATATATATAATTTGTTAATATATCGAGAGAAGTAAAGAGATTTTACTAAAGACTTTCTGTATGACGCTCTTAGCAGCGAGTGCTTTGTTTCCTTCATATTTCTGAGCGATTTAATTGCGTTGTTGTTTCTCGCGCTGAAATCTATATGCATATATATATATATACATATTTTATCTCGTGTTCTCGTTCTCAAACGTGTGCGTGTAGCTGTATGGACTAGACTAGATGAATAGAAATGATGAGAAAAAGCGGCACGCCGCGTGCGAAATCCTAGAATCCAACTTTGATGACGGACGCCGGCTCTCGGCAAACAGAAACATGTTAATTCGTTTTCCTTTGCCTCGACGCCTCTAAAGTTTAATTGCGTTCCGCGCGAAATTTACCACTTCGGGTTTTATGATCATCTATCGCGCAAACAGCTCCCATTCCTTTCTCCGCGACGCGTAGAGTTTCTCTCATCGCGAATAAGCTCGATCGACACATCATCAGTCCACGTACTTCCGATGGAGCCTAAGACGCGGTCGTAAAGCAAAGTCTCTCGGAGAGGGAGAGAGAGAGAGAGAGAAAGCTTTCTCGCCGAAAAGCTCGCTCACGTATCGGTGTGCTTCCCCTTGTGCTTGATCGGCTGACGTTAAACGCAGGATAACACGCTTGTCGCACAGCATCACTGCCGGATTGTCGAGTAACGGCGTTCAATGTCCGTATAGCTACTGTACTGGGTGTCTTCCATTTAATAAGACAAATCGACACCCGGGAAAGAAAGATTATATATAATCGTATAAAATTGTATATGATTATATATAATCATACGTAATTTGTATATGAATTTTGTCCTTACATGGCTATATACATAATTATACAAGGTGTCCGAAAACCTGGCAACGATTAAGTTTAGGACACATATTTATATAGACTTTTTGACTCTAAATACATTCCCAAATTGATACTTGAAATATTTCCGATATGTTTTCGGTCACCCTGTATATGTCCACACGAAGTAAAAATACTGTTGAATTAAAAGCGGCAGGAATTTTTTGATTGAATTAAATGTTTACATCGCGGACAACCGTAAATATAAACATTTACTTCAATTACATTCGTATAACAGTATTCTTTATGATGTATAGGACATATGTAATTATATATGATTTTATATGGACATATATAGGGCAAAATTCACGTATGACGATATGATCATTTTTTTCCCGGGCACAAGCATCATTTTGTCTTTGTCCTATATTTAATTCACAACAAAGATAGGATGACGCTTGCGTCACTAAATGGAAAGTACTCACTGTATACTCCACCGAGTCATGCTTCGAGTATCGGAGCATCGAGCACATTTCGACACAGGAATTCCGGCGAAGAATTCTGCGCATTCGGTTCATCAGGGAACTCTTCTCGAATCGCATCCGCGTAGGCAATCAAACATATGCTTACACACACACACACACACACACACACACACACACACACACACACACACACACACATACATACATACACCGAGCTGCACGTCTCGCTCTCTCGTACACCCGCTCGGCCGTTCGCGAAAGCTCCGAGCGATCCTCTATTTTTGCGGTAAACAAGCCGAATTGCTCGATCTGAAGAGAACAAAATTGACAACTCGATGCGCGAGAGTTTGTATCCGAGCAGCGAGCAACAATATACACTTGGTATACTACAAATAGATAATGCGTAACGAAAAATGAGGATATAATAAATGAATAGATCTGTACAGAAATTTACTGTTTTTATTACTGCCACATCGATGCCACTCTCACTCTCTCATCACGCTCATACACCCTCGATTTTCTCTCTCTATTCTATGAGTAAACCGGCTTCTTTTTATGTAAGATACAGCGACCAACGACTCTTGCATGTACAAGAACTACCGATAACAGTGTCTCTCTTGTGACTTAGAAAGAATCTCAGCGAAGGAATCGTCAACTCGACTCAATCTCTGATCAAATTTCGTTTTATATTTGTCACAATTTTCTTCTCTTCACCATTAATTCCATTCTGATTTCTGAAATCAAAATTACAAAATATACGATATACTTTTTTCATGGTCTGTGTTCTTTAGTTTATATTATTTAAATCAAAGTCAATTAGCAAAACATCCACTGATAATATCATCCTGTTGCGGTCGCGCCGTCTTCTAATAAGATCATCAAACGACAATACACAGTGCATTTTATCACCTATGTCAGATTACGAATTCTCATGTCGGTTCTTTCGTGCACAACCAGTTCTACGAAAGCCAATGCTATCAGCAAAGACCAACTGATCTGCTCTTTATTGACGGGACTTTGCTCGTTGTACATTTCTTGAAATTCCGGCCTTATATATACAGACGGTAAGCGTTCCTTGTTCTCCAGTGATCCACTGTTCTCATCCATTAATTTTTGAAGCATATATTGGGTAGATATTCCTTCATTCCCAACGACGAGTCCGTAGATCTTTTGTAAGACATTCTGACGAATTATAAACATATTATTTGCTACAAACTCGGCAGTACCTGAAAATTTTATGATAAAATTCTATTGGAGAAACATCTTCTTTGCCTCGTGGTATACAGCGAGAGTTACTAACACTAGAACGACTGTTTAGATAAGACTTAATGGTGATTGCAGAACGGAAGTTATGTTGATTATATAATGTTTTTCTCGAGAAATACGGTAGATGTGATCGAAGTGATTTTCGACAAACATAATTATCGTTTCAGAGATGACCGGAGTTATTATATTCCACCTCGGTTCTAGTGTCAGCGCAATTTTTTTTTCTCTACTCGAATACGTAATAATTTCCTCTCTACCGAATTTAGAACTCAGCGTTGCCAGGTGCGACAGAATAATGGCATTCATCGCTAAATATTCCATGTGGATTTGTTGAAACTTTGGACTTTTCCGAAAATTGTCACCGCCAAATTCCTGCATTATATATCGATCAGCTTTCGGTAATTTTTCAGCGATCGGTAACGCCTAAGTGAGAAATGAAAGAAAACAATGGTAATTATACAACGCAACTACATCTTACAACTGATAATAAATAATCTGAGATTTTTTAAATCAATCTTATAAGTTTGTTATCTTGATATTTACTATTTGAAGTAAGGAATGGAGATTCTCCTTTACGCGATTGCGTGTAAAGGATTTGTATTGCCACTGTAATATTTCACAATCGCGACTCAGCAATGACCAGCTTATCATATCTTGTCCCACATGTATGCCTAATACTGTATTGACTTCCTATAATAATTTATATTCAGAGATAAAACATCACAAATTAAATGTGTTTAATATATATACAAGGATAAAAACAATTGATTGACGTATAGAAACTATGCAGAAAAAAGAATAAGAAAACTTTATTTTGACACATATATTTAATAAATGAGGGTTTTCTTAAATTGTACATCTTATTTGTGAAACTTTTTTCATATACACATATATAAAAAAATATGTAATATTTTTTTTTAATTATAGAAAATTAAGATAATTTAGCTTTCTACGTACCTTTTGATTGTCATCGGTAATTTTTGGTGTTACGACCAAACCTGAAATAACTTTTTTGGAAGTTTTATTCTTCGTGCCAGTTATAATTGACTTATAAAATTGATATAAACATTTGTTATTTAAACCCTTTACTTGTAACAAATCTTCCAGAGAATTATATAGTCCATTATTTGTACGATGCAATTCTAAATTCTTCGCACGTGTCTTAGTAATAGAGTACCTTTTTGTGCATAATTATAATAATGAAGAGTATGTAATTAAAAGTTGATAATATAATGCTTGCAATATATCATTAAAAACCAATAATTTATTGCAACATTAAGATAAAGAAATCTTGCCATATAAACATAGCTGACTTACTGCAATAAATCTTCCATACTTTGATAATTTACTACATTAAGAATCTTGTCTTTTTCTTCTGACGATAACAAGTTTGTGTCAAAAACTTCTGTATCTGTGCTATTCATCTTGAAAATTATTGTTCTTGGTCCCCAATATTTGCTAACCTACAAACCACAAAATAAAATAGAGA